ATATATATATATATATATATATATGCAATGATACACACTTTTTTATAATGACTTAAGTTAAAGAAGTTTTCGAAATTTGTCTTCAATTTATACTCCTTCTTTACTACCTAAACTTAACTTTAATTTTTTTTATTCCTTACTGTAATTTGTATTGGTTTATTACTATTTTTAATATTGTGAACTCATTTAATCAATTTTTATTCATAATTTTTTAATATTAATTCAGTAAGTATGGGATTACCCCGTTCATAAATAAATAATAAAATAAAATAAATAAAAGAAGTGGGTAGTAACCGGAGAAGACTAAATGAAAAGGATTCCTAACATCCTCTAATTCCTAAGATGGTTAAACCTGCAAAAGTCCTGATTTAAGTGTTAAAAAAAAAGAAGAAGCGGCTAAATACCTCGCTGGAGTGCGTTCGGTTCTGGTGCTTGGCGCGGTCGGAGGCGTTGCTGAAGGCCTTGCTGCAGCCCGGGTACTCGCACATGTAAGGCTTCTCGCCCGTGTGCGAGCGCAGATGCGTCTTGAGGTTCTCCAGCCGCGAGTACGCCTTGTAGCAGCCCTCGAACTGCCAACACCACACACAACGCAATTACACACAATGCACTCACCACGTACAACACAGTTACATACAGTGCACACCACACACAACACAAATATGTGCAGTGCACACCACACACAACACAATTATGTACAGTGCACACCACACACAACGCAATTACATGTAGTGGATGCCGCACACAACACAATTATATAGAAGTTACTCTAAGAAGGTGCCAGTTGGGCAGGTCGACAAACCAATGGAATGTCGGACGATGACATTGCAAGAGGTACTATTGAAGCTATTTACAAGTGAACCGACCGAAGGCGAACGCATTGACGAATTGAGCGGGTGGACATAACCTGCAGTTACGTTGCCAGCAGATGTCAAAGCGGCTCCTTCTTAGACTCTATACATACAGTGCAATGGCGACGCAGCATCCAGTATCATGAACGGTGTGACACCGTAGGATTCATTTTAGTCAGATCAAATAAAACAGTTTTTAAATTCCAAAACTAGATAAATATGTTCACATTTATTTACTCAGAAAAACGCATACATGTTAGGGCTCGAAAAATGTGAAAACAAAAACAAAAACAAAAACAAAAACAAAAAAAAAAAAAGGAAGAGTAATGTAATTGAGTAACGAAGAAACAGTTCCGAATGTAACGAATATTCCGCCATTTTAACGCACTCAATACCGAGTGAAAAACTACGATATGGCAAGTGAGTTTTTTCTCATGCTGTTTGGGGCATAGCAACACACCACTACTCAAAATGACTTTAATATCTAAATGCTTCGCTTGGCTTATCTTTATTGCGTTCACGATAAACTTAATAAAACTTCCTTGTTATGAAAAAGACTGGCATGATACAAACTTCCTAGTGATTTTTCTAGACACGAAATGACGCAAGATATTATAAAATACTAGAAAATATGTTATAAATGACAGTAAAGAGAATTCATCAGACTTTTAACAGACGTTATCTTTAAGTGTTGTCTCCACAATATAGTAAGTTCAAGCCGTGATGTGACCTCTATCTCATAAGAAATATCCAATCACAGATCGTGCCTGCGTCAGAACTAGAAGGAACAAAACATGCCAGAAAAGTCAATGGAATTAAAATTTCAACAAGTGTTTCCGTGTGATATGACTTTTAAGATTGAAAACTGTTATACAAGAAAAACAAACACAAGCAATATTCGAGTAGTTTCTATGTACAGTTTTATCTTTTAAATTCCTCGATGTGAGAGTTAATTAGAATCCTGCGACACTCATTCAATTCATCATCAATCGGGCAAGCAGGCAATAACAGAGTTTTCGGCGATCGGAAAAGATGCTGATTGTTATTAAAAAAATGATGTCATTGACAACATCAATTATTTCATCTCGTCGTCTATGGGAGTTTTTTTACGATTCTCTTAAACAGCATGAGTATGGTAGATTCTACATCAAAGCGGTGTATAGTTCTAATCAATTTTACAATAAGATCATAAGGATTAGCAAATTAATTGTCTTGTTTGAACAACTTAAGTACACGACTTTGCAAATAGAAAAACAGAAAATTAATTCAGTTCAAATAGTTGCAGAACGAACAACATTCAAGCTTTGGAACAGTGATGTTGCAAACTACTTTATTCTAGGAGAGAAAAATGATATAGGACCATGATACGGAACAGAACGATTGCGATAATCGCTAACCGTTGAAGTAATACTGGACGATCAAAGAAGCCATGGGATATTATACTTAACCTCAACGAAATATTAATAAGGACAGTGAATGATTTATTGATAGTAATAGTGATTGTGGCATTTAAGATTGTGAAACATAAGGATTATGATAGTCATGGTGAGCGAAAGAACGTTAAAAGCAATTTTAATATTTGACACTGTAGATGGTTGATGGTTGTAGTAATTGTGATGATGATGGTATGGAAACAGTGACAGTAATGGTGACTGATGTGATGGTAATGGTAACGCGTATGGCGAAGGTCACCGAAAGTAATGCTAACAGGGATGGTGATGCTAAGAGGGATGGTGATGCTAAGAGGGATGGTGGTGCTAAGAGGGATGGTGATGCTAAGAGGCATGGCGATACTAAGAGGGATGGTGATGCCAATAGGGATGGTGATGTTAACAGGGATGGTGATGCTAACAGGGATGGTGATGCTAACAAGGTTTGTGATGGTATGATGTATTGTAATCGAATCGTAAGGATGACGGCAATGGAGGCTAATGGAGAGGAGGTGCTTGGCTCACCGTGCACTTATGGGGCTTCTCGCCGGTGTGGCGTCGCATGTGCACCACCAGCATGTACTGCGCCTTGAAGGGCTTCTCGTCCCTGGAGCAGTGCTCCCAGCGGCACACGAAGCTCTTCTTGTTGGCGTGGATGTGGTCCTGGTTGATGTGCTTGACGAGGTCGTCCTGCGTGGGGAACTCGAGGCCGCATTCGCGCCAGTGGCAGTTGGTCTCGATGAAGTCGCCGGGCTCGTCGCGGCCGTCCCC